AACATTATATTTTGTTCTAAAAGTGTTTAGTATTAATTAGTTAAAAGTTTCGATCTTTCAGTATGGCGCTCAAAGTATTTTTATTTTATTGGTGCATGGTTATGTTACATACCAACTATCCATTCGGTCAATCGTCAGGTGTGGCGGGAACCACTCCAGATTATTCCTTATGGAAGCACTTGTCAACTACAGGTGTCATTATTACCGCGACTGGTACGCGCTAAGAAATCAATATTATGGTAACGGTTATTGCAAATACCACCAAGGACTTTACTGTTTGAGTACATTGTAACTTCCACTCTTTTAATTTGGCGCTTTTTCCGAGATGTTCTTGCATTGTTTCTATGTGGTTTTTCTTCTTCATTTTGTAAGGCGTTTGCACCTTAAATATCAAGTACATTTCTTCTGACCGTTTTTACGTCGATAACTAAGCTTTTACATTGCCTTGTTAACCACTGTTTCTATTTGCCTGTCAATTTGACAAACATTATACTAGTATATGTGGTGCGCAGTTGTTTTGCAAAGCGTGTTACACAATAGGTGTCGGGCTTTTAAAAGTATAATGGGATAAGCGTTCTCTCCAGCAGGCGTTTTTGCCGGTTTTGTGTTCTATATAAATGTTGTTACGTACCTATAATCCAGCCGGCCAGGCGTCCGCCAGGCGTACCAGACACGAAGCCGGCCTGTGGCCCGCGCAGCGGCGGCGAGGTAGGACTAATCAGGCCTACAGAAAGATCACAGTGCAGGCGTACACGCAAGGTAGGGAGTTACAAAGGGTGCAGTTTCCAGGAGACGTGACTTTAAACTGTGTTATCATTATGGGTATAGATGAACTATCAGAATATTGACTATAATGGTGATTAAACTTCGCACTCACAAAAAAAGTCCAGGATTACGAGGTGCCATCTTTTGGTATAATACTGAACTACGTGATTACGAGCTACCATTAAAACTAGAACAATATTAAGGCATTTCACTGAACTTCCAATAAATCATCTATACCACATTTTAATAACAATAATACTTATTTTAGGCAAATAAATATCACTTTTAAAGTTACAATGTTGGTTTTATTTTTCTATTTGTATTTATCTCCTCGAAACTTTGAAGGTATTGTATGTTTTGGATATTATGGTTACATAAATTAACTTTAAACAGGTGTTAAGTTACCCTCGAAAGTCAGTCTAGACAAATACGAAAGAGTCAATGAATTTCAAAAGAGATTTGACATTCACTTCGAACGTGTCGGCCTGGCCTTCGAGTCAGGCGGTTACGCCCCAGATAGACGAAAAACTTGTTACAAATTCTGAAAATCGTATATCCAAAACATCCTTTTAGAAATGATAAAACAATGCAAAACGGGGAGCGTAAGTTACACCTTGTGTAGTTTGATATTACAATCAAAATCAACCACGTTTGGCTAATAAAAAATGCGATATAAGGGTCAAAACCCACATTTCAGTGCGCTCCAGCACCAAATGCCCGTATCAAAAAGAGGTTATCGGCATGTATACTATAATATCTAACGCGGCCGCAGTTGTTTAGATGCACCTTGTCAAAACTACACTAGATTTAAAATACTAAACTCGACCCTTTAAACACACGCTAGCATTCGGAATTGCATTGCACGCTTGTTCAACTTCCTACTATTCTAATTAAAAACAAATAACAAAATCGTCAAAATAAAGACTTATTATTTTATCGTTAATTCTGAACAAACGACAACACCGAAATTACGCGGGCGAATTGCTGGCAAGTGTGACTCTAGGGTAAAAGTAAATAAAGACTACATCTTATTTAATTGTTACTGACTTTATAAAGGATGACAATGAATTAGGAAAGTCTATCAATATAATTTCCTATACGAGTGAATATAATGATATAATTATTTTAGAAAGTTAATGGTGTAAATAACTTATTAGGCGCGGGGAGGGGACGGGAAAATGTTACTCAGCTTTGTCACTGTGCCCTCAATCGCTATCACCTAATAGCTCTCACACAAGTAGGCGATACGTAAAGATCACCTTTGAAGAGTATGTATATCTGATCGCGCGATCATTATGGTAGAGGAAACGGATAACCTTCAATGTGTATACTTTGATCATGATATCAGTTTCACCTGCCCGATTGCCGTACGATTTGTCGCAACCGATCGCGCCATTCAACTGAAAAAAAAATCCAAATAGTTTCCCAACAAATCACAATATATTTTAATACGCTTTCAGCTTTTTGCTTTCTAACTACATATTTACAAAAAAAGGCAAATTAAACAATTAAAAATAATAATAATTATTTTTGCTACAATAATAATTTGCTACAAAACTCTTAAATATAATAAAATGAATCACAGTATTGTGTTATTACTGTATTCAAGAGTTTTGTAGCAAATTTATAAACACAAATATTAATGAGAGCTGTATTTTTTATGACACGAACAAATATTGTTTACTTTGATGATTACTTTAAATTGTTTCACTGTCTTTTTTGTAGTTTCAAACAAAAAAACTAAAACCATTTTAAATAATATCGTGATCTGTTGGGAAACTATTTTAAATATTATTTCAGTTGAATGTAATAGTGCGATCGTTTGCGATAAATTGTACGACAACTGGGCACGCGAAACTGATATAGTGATCAAAGTATACAGATTGAAAGTTATTACTCATCAGATTCTACTACCAACCGATCGCGTGATCAGAGTATACATATCCCTTTTGAATGTTTCATCTTAAGTCGACATGTAGCAGTGTAATTTTTTTTTAAACGCAAGTGTAATACAACGACAACATTATATAATCTTATGTTAGTTTCTATTTAATACTACGCCTAGTAGTGATAATAGTTACTACGTGAAGAAAACTAACCAGAACAACTGGACCGTTCGCTGTTACATTTGTAAAGGGTTTTCAAGTCTCCACTTTGTTTTCTTGTACCCAACACAATAGTCGAAACAGATGTCACGTCGTATTTTTTGCTCAAGTATATCAGTTTGTAGCCCTCCTTCAATTGGTCTTCTTCAGTCTGAGATTCTGTTGAAACCTTCTTAATCGTTGTTAAAAGATTTGTATGTTCAATGAACTCTTGTTTCATTTTAGACAAATAAATTACTTCGTTCTTGTTTTTCTTAGGATCATCCTTAGATATAAGCCTGAAATTCTGACTAAGTTTTTTATCCAATAAATTTCTAAAAATTGCTTTTATGGGGCACTCCTTTTTGAAAAACTTGTCTATTACATTAAGTAGAGGTTCCTCGTTGCAAAATTTTGGTATAAGAGAATTTGGTTCAATAGAATCTAATATTTTGGATGTTGCAGAAATTTGTACTGATTTGGGGAATTTATCCCAATATTTGTATGTTTTGGTTGTTTGTGTAAGACTTCTGCCTATTGGAGCTTTGAGTTCACGTGCACTTAAACACTTATTAGCGGTTTTCTTGTGTTCAAATATGACACAAGTGCCACTTGTTGCTGTCGTTTTTTCTTTAGTATTGGATTTGTTTATTTGCTTACTGTCGATTTGTACACTAATTTCCACTTGAGGCTTAGATGTTTCACTTTCACGGTATATCTGTCCTAATAGGCTTATAGATGCTGTCGTCTTTCCCTCATGTTGTTTCACAAGTTTCATATACAACGCACTTATATCTTTGTGCATTGTTGGCAAATTTTGAGAGAGTAAACACAAATTTTCCAATAAAAGCAAAATAAATTTTTCGTCAATTACTTTCGATGAACTATCATCATGAAGGGCCAGTTCCGAGTGTCGTCTAGTACATTTGCTTGATTTACCATTACCGAGGACTCCACGACATTCTTTCAACCGAACTTTTTTCTTTGTTTGAAAAACCGACTGGGTGCTTTTCTTTAAATTTGCTAGAATGTAGCAAGACTGCGGTTCTTCGTTACCTCCCACAGATTTCCTTGAATCCGAATGACTGTTATCGGTATACCGTTTGTTTCTGAACTTGAGGTCAACGGAATGCTCACTATGATTACAAACGAGTACACTATAGTTACGTGATGCAGCGTTGCTGTTACTCATATAAGGGGTTGACTTAAATTTATCTCTCACTTCACTCATCTTGGGATTGTAGTCAATGTAAGGGTTCTTAAAACTTCTATGAGGATCGATTTGATTATGAAATACTTTCTTCGTGGAATAGCTCTGATGTATCACATATTTCCTGTTGTCATTACTATTCGAAAATTTTAAACTCAAATTAATTGCTTTCGATTCACCAAAATTTGGAGGTTTTTGTCTTAACATTAATGATAACGACATACGTCCTTTAATATTGGCATCATTCAACATAGAAATGTGCTCCAAATCGTATTTAGAAAGGTCTACAACGACCGAATTTTCTTTAGTGTTTTCTGATATTAGCTGTTTTCCAAAATAATCTATGATAGGGATTCCGAGTTCGTTTTGCAACGCCCGGTCAACTTTTGTGTCATCAGGGTTGACATCCTTATTTTTTTGCCTTTGTTCAGGTCTCCCAGCCGTGGCAAATAGCGAAGTAATTTTATCTATAACATCTTTTAAGTATAATTGTCCGGGGTCAACAATCCGAGATCCTAGTATGTTATTTTTTTCAGCATCGTCTACCTTAAAAGTCGTAATACTTTTTGATACCGTTTTCTGAACAGATTCAGTTTGCACCTCACAAACGGGCTCGTTAGACCCGCGTTCGTGGGAGTATTTTGAGGTTGATGTGTACGACGAACTGTTTCTGTTATTTTGCTGGCTATCGTGCATTAATACATCCAAGTATGCGCCGAGAAATTCCTTTACTATGTCAGGAGGTATGGAAGTTTCGCTAATTAGGCGATTAAAAGTTTCCTGTATCATTGGGTATTCAGCCGACGAATTGGATTTGTTTTCCTTCTTTTGGTTTTCATTTTCGTTCGAGGTGCCATTAGAATTATTATATAAAGGAATTTTTCCCAGATTGTCCATCAGTCTCTTTGTGGTTTGTATATCTTTCGAGAGAAAGATATGCTTTGGTCACTGTGGGTGGTTTCACAAATGTAGACGGTGTTTTTAAGCAACCTTTCAAGCTGTTGTTCTCTTCGTTCTTTTTCGTAACTATCACTAGGTTTAATCTCGTTGTGCTGTTTGCGATTCGTACGCATTCTTTTTGTTTGTTTAGTACTGCACATGGCTTCAAATTGAGTTTCCTTTGTCGATTTGTTAATAGTAATACTTGACACGTTTGCATCTTTAGTGAAATAGTCATTGGATGGTTTGGCTATGGATTTAGCGTCTTTTGCTGTACTTCGGCCGTAAAGGGCAGAAGCGTGCTTTATCCAATATTCTAAAAGGCATCGGAACAAAATTTTGACAGGTTGTGTTTCTGGTTCATAAAACTTGAATCCGTACAACTCTTGGAGCATTTTATTGACATAGTAATTCATATGGCCATTTTGCTCCATAGCTGTTTTGTCAGCGTCTCCACCCAATAAACTGATTATTAGTTTCTCAGTAATTATGTCATATTCAGATTTAGTCATTTCGTCTTGTAAAGACTGTGTTCGCTTCGCTGAAGTGGCTTGAGTTTCAGTGCTTTTCTTGGGCACTATCGCCATGCCAATTATTTTATTTTCTTTATCCTTTATCTTACGACGTAAGAGCATACTTTTGCTAAGGGGTTTGGAAAGCGCCGGTTCAGCGTTCAATTGGTATTTGATTAAATTTGTACATTTCTTACTTCTTTTCATACCAGGATTATTATTACTAATTTCTTCTTGGTTATGCGGAAAATAGGGTTTGGATGCTCTGTGTTCACGACTTAAGTTGCTGTAGTTACTAAACTTTGTACCTGTTCTTACGTAGAAATTGGTGTCGACAGGCTCATTGTAAGTATACGCGCAAACGAAAGAAGATTTCAAACGCACGTCAGTTTTCAATGACTTGGTGTCATCTAAATCTGTGCTGATTATTGTATTTTCAACGTCAGTCATGTCTACAGATTCTGCAGGAGATTTTGGGTTAATTCTAGTCACACATTCCATTGAACACATACTGTGGCATATATTGTTTTTTAATTTAAATGCAAAGTCACCTTTTTCTACAGTTTGTTTCGAGATTAGTTGGGTTTCTTGTCTTGTACATGCTTCGTCGCATTTTGGGGTATTGAATACATTTATTTGGTTGGCTGAATTTTGAGATGCTCGTTTATCCCCAATGATTGAATTGCTTGGTGTTAAAATGTTTATGTTTAAATCTCTTTTTTTTTCCATTTCTCCTAATATTCTGGTAAGTATATTATATAACGATATGCTTGTTACTCTTGAATCTTGGGAGGTCGACGATGATGAGCAGTACATGGAACTCGAAGTACCTTTTAGTAAAAGGGAATAAAGGATATTAAGGAATAATAATGGGATTTTTGTTTCATCTTTTTTCAAATTTATATCTGCAACAATTTTTGGTTGGCACTTAAAGTCTAACAAATAAATAAGAATTATCACAAATTTAATATTAAAATGTTTCTATATTAAAAAGTCATCATCAGGAAAGATCGAAGGCAGGTGAGGCATGGTAAGGACGAGGGGCAATCCATATTAATATGGATTTATAAAACGGAAAGTAAACGTGAAGTCTAACCAGGAGGCCCCGGACAGAGATACAAGAGCTATTCTATTAAATAAAATATTAATTAATTATACGACTGAGAGAGCCAAAGCGGACGAGGGAGATAAAACTATATAGCTGTGAAAAATGTTTGACTACTTAACATTGGGCACTGAAGCCAAACTACACATCCAAACGCATCCTAAATTTAAAGCCGTAAGTCCAAATCACACTATCAACACCAAACAAAAAATATGACATCATATTCTAAAAAACGAGAAAGGGGAAGAATATTTTTGGAACTTCTACTCTAATGCAAAACCACACGGTTAAAAGGCATTCTAAAATATTTAACGAAAATTAATAACACTTACGCGACGAGTTATCTGTTGGCGGCAGATCTTCGAGTGGCGCGTGGATTTTCGGTACTGACTCCCGCGCTCCAAAAGTGAGCAGATGTTGACGGTATAATCTGTTGTGCAAAACTTCTGTTAGAACCATTGACTTACAATTATATGGACGTCGGGTCCGCGCTAAAAAGTGTCCGCACTTGTAAGGCGCTAAAATCGTATATAGAGCGCGACACTCCGTTTTAGTCTTCATTTGTTCTACGGACAGCGCGATACTGCGATGACATAACAATTTAAATTTCGAATAGGTTGACTTGGGACATTTTTTTCGTGGTTTTTGTATTAGACGCGTCGTCCATTTATTTGTAAGTCAATGGTTAGAACGGAATAATTTTCTAGATAACATTTTTTTTGTAGTATTATGTTGTAGCCCAGTGGAACACCGGCTGCTTCTTAATCTTAATTGACAGTTTCATGGTTCTCTTAACCCGTTCCAAAATATAAGTAGCGGGCCAAAGAGCACTCAAATGGGCATGGACCTCGGCTAAGGACGCTGCTGGAGACTTCCACCAGAAAATGTGCCGTTGGAGCGAGTCTGCGCGAGCATACCTGACCTTCCTCGCCAGCGAGAACGGTCGTTTCGTGTGGAATGTTGAGATCTGGTTGGCCTGTAACGTAGCCTACGAATGTGGTGGGGGTGCGTGTTCCCTGAGGGGGGCCAGTTTTATGGTTCGAATCTCAGTTAACCAGTCATTTCTAAGTTACTAATGCGAATGTTTGGTAGCAGTTACCCCTCGCTAACGGTGAAGGAACTTGCACTTCGAAAAAGGTTCATAATATTTTAAAAAGTCTCCAACACCTATTGCGACAGCGTGTTACTTTATGGATTAAATTGGCGATGGGCGATTGTTACTAAAAAAATATCGAATAAATCGATAGTTGCACTATCCTATATTCCGTTTTGGATTTAGTCGAAAAATGATCGAATATAGTTACTAATTTAGTAATTACTAATTAAATTTTCGGTGTATAAAAAATATCATCTACGAAATGTTAAAAAAAACGATCCTATAACGTATTTAATACCAATCGATCCTGTTACTAATTTAATAACAATCAATCCTGTTACTATTATGACAATGATTTGATCAACAACCAAAAATTAGTAACAATATAGTAGATTAGTAACAATATCAATTCACAATCGATATTTGATCAACAATCAAAATGTGAATGTATTTAATTTAGTATCTAATTGATATCATCAATCTAATTATTTCATTTATTATCGAATAATTCGATTATTTTAGCAACTATCGCCCATCGCTAGCCTAAACCCCCTTCGAGGAGACCTCTGCCCAGCACTGGGACGTGTATATTTGGTTGATTATAGTAATCATGAAGTCTGACCTGTCCCGAATAAAAGTTATTCGCTTCAACTGAACTGAGGTAACGTTCCTAAACATGGGCTAATGGACATGTCTTAGTAGCACTAGCGCTCCTTGTGAAAGAGTTTATCCAGGGAAGTACTGCCACCTTATCTATTTCTGCCGTCAAGTAGTAATGTCAGCATTACAGTGTTCCGGTTTTGAAGGGTAAGGGTGATGGTAAAATTACAGGTACATAAAGACTTGTCAATATATGTCACAAGGTGAGGATTTGCGATTTAAAGCTCTGAGTGACACTACAACTGTTATGGACAGGCATGTCTTACCCCAGGCACACGATTTGTTCGTCCCGTCACTTAATTTAGTCATAGTCATAGTCATAATCTTTATTGCATCAATGTTGTAGTACATGGTGTTCTAGAGCTAGTGACGGTTCCCAACATTAGCCCTGTAAGGGCATTGCAAAAACATAAGAATAAAATTTAAAATGTCAAAATGAAATGAATTTAGTAAATTACAAATTAATAAATGGAATACATAAATGTCTTATTGAATAATGAATGAAACATATAAAATTACAAACATTCTCTTATATTCTAATTACCTTCTAAAAATTCTTTAACGTCATATGGGCATTTTGCTATAAGGAATTTCTTTAGCTTTTTATAAAATATTATATCTTTTTCTATATTTTTTATTTCCACTGGTAATTTATTATATATTTTTATTGACATATGGTATGTTCCTGAACTAACTATGTGTAATCTGGTGAGGGGTAAAGCCAATTTATTTCTATTTCTTAAGCTACGTGTTTGAAAGTCTTCTGTTCGTGGATATAAATGTTTGTTTTTCCGTACTAATTTACACATTTCGAATATATAAATGGAAGCAAGAGTGAAAATCTTGTATTTAATGAAATGAGGTCTACAACTTTTTTTATCTGTAATATTCACCAATATACGAATACATCGTTTTTGTAAAACAAATAATTTATTTACCTCAGTGCTGTTTCCCCATAAAATAATGCCGTAGCTCAACCAAGCATTGGCGTATGCATAATAAGCGATCTTTGCTGTTTTTAGATATATATTTATATATAGTTTCTAGTATATTATAAAATAAAATAACTTAGACCACGACAGGGATTCGAACATTTGACCTCTCAGTTGTGAAGCAACGATTCTCCCACTAGGCTATCACCGCATTACTATCACCAGAATATTTATTGTATAACTCACCGATGCGCTTTCAGAACATTGAGCCATGTGCGAAAGACGTCTGGCGTTTTTGCTCTCAGGTGATATATGAACTCATCTGCATCAATATCTATACGTCGACGCCGCGCCTTAGCTGAAATGACGGACAGACCGACGTCCACAGATCCGTGTAGCCGACCCCGTGCTACATCTGTTGGTGATCTGGCGTAAACTAGAATACCGCCGTCAACTACGAAGAAACGCTGGAAAGAAAAGTTGATTGTTATTCGTACGGCGTTGATGCGTATTATTTGTACATAGTTGATGGGTTTTTAGAAGTGACGTGGATTACCGCCTTCTGATTCCACAGAAGAAATTTGATTAATGTTAGTTTATATTTCGGTTAGTAATAGGTTTTGATTTCTGTTTATGAAAGAAATTAGAGAAGGCTGGTTTTTTTTACACGATAATTTTATTTCAGTTGACGGTTATTTGTTTACAATTGAGGAGTTATTTGCATGCCAATGATGGTTATTTGTACACAGTTGATGAGTTTTTGTCGTTACGCTGAGGTTACTACATCCTAATCCAACGACTATAATGGAACTCAATTGTTATTTTAATGCAGTTAATGTTAATTTTCTATGAATAATTATTTGTTTACAATTGAGGAGTTATTTGCACGACATTGATGGTTATTTGTATGCAATTGATGGTTAGTCATTCACAAATGATAGTTTTATTTTTGCAAGTTATAACCCTTGTCTTTTACGTTTTTAGTATTTGTTACATAGAATAGAATAGAATACAATAGAATACGTTTATTTGAGATATAGAAGAAGAATACAGTAATTACAAATGTCTTAAGTAAAATTAGGTACATTGTATTCAACCTGCAAGCAGATGTGTAAATATTAATGGGATTCAATGTTTCTTTAGTCTCTATAGTTTCTAATTAATATAATGAATTTGTAAATTTTAAGTTTTCTTTATTACTATAGAAGCAATGTGTCAAAAACCATTTTGTCAATTTTAATTTAAAAGTATGTCCTTGTAACAATTTAATTTCGTTTGGTAATTTATTGTAAATAATTATACACATGTTGAAGCAGTTATTCTTATAAATTACTTTATGGCAACGAGGTTGGTATAAGAGATTCATAATTTTTGCTCTAGTTTGCCTTTGAATGACTTCACCGCGTGTTTTAAAATATTGAGGATGAGAGTTGACAAATACGCAGATATCTCTAATGTACATGCATGGCAAAGGTAATATGTTCAGCCTTTTAAACAGCGGTTTGCAACTGTCATCGAACCACGCACCGCAAATTGCTCAAATACACTTCTTCTGGAATTTCAACGCTCTTTCTAAGATTACTGAGTTACCCCATAGTACAAGACCGTAGCTGAGCACGGACGAAACGTAGCCGTGATAGGCCGTCAACGCAGCTTCTCGCGAGACAGTTTGTCTTAGTCTTCGTAAAGCGTAAACAAATCTGTTTAGGTTCATGCACATCTGTTTGATGTGTTCCTTCCAGTTAAGGTTCTTGTCGATTGCTAACCCAAGAAAGTTAAATGTGTCTACTTCATCTACAGTATCAGAGTTGTAATTAATTTTGACCGGTATGGGATTTGAGTTGTAAGATCTAAATGTCATAACTTTGGTTTTACTTATATTAATATTCAAGTCATTGATGTCCATCCAACTTATTACGTCTGTCAGTGCTTTATTTACGTCAGTGTTAAAAGTCGCTTTGTTTTGGCATTTTATTATAAGAGTTATATCGTCAGCAAATTGTATACAATTATATCATATTTTGTACCTATACTGGTTAAATTTAAACCTACCTTGTGCCATCCTTTCAGTGGCCACTTGCGCTTCTTGTGGAGATATCCGTTGAACACCTCGGGCCGCCGGTCGAAGCGCTGCCCGTCTTTCAGACCCTCCAGAACCTCCCATTCACTACCTCGCCGCCGACTGTAATGTACGAGATAGTGGTTCAGTTATATACGTGTCAACAATAGTGATCTGAACATCTTCATCATAAACATTAAACATAAATAAATAACGCACACATTCATAGGGGATATGAGCTATGAGCACTACGGAAACCCAGTGAAATTACAAATTACAGGTGAAATTTCAAACTCATGGGACTTGTCAACTTATGTCTCAGGGTGACGGGCGCATTGGCAGTGCCCCTCAGATCTTTGCTATTTAAAGCTCTGAGTGGCACTGCAAACGTCCCGTCACTTGATTTTATAAAAAAAATCCTGTATTACGGGTGTCATGGATTCACACAGGTATACAAATACCAATTACACCCAAACTCAGGGGAGAAATAAATGTATGACTTACAAACATTTCTCTCGGCCCGGGAATCGAACCCGAGACGTCTGTATAGCAGTCCAGGATGGTAATCTTTGGCCACAGAGGCAGATAAACATATAACATCAACTTAATAAAATTGTTCAGTATTATGTAGTATATCAGTATATTTATATGCATATTTAGGGAACTGTAGGTTTAGTAATATGTTAATTTTAAGTATGTATATTTTTAAATATGTAAAACTGTTTGTTCCTCAATAAATTAAAAAAAAAAAAAAAAAAAAAAAATTATGCATAATGGTAGTAGCAGTCCAGGGAAGTACTGTCATCTTACCTATTTCTGTCGCCAAGCAAGTAATGTGAGCATTACTGCGTTCCGGTTTTTGAAGAGTGAGGGTGTTGGTGAAATTACAAGCACATGAGACTTGTTAACTTATGTCTCAGATATTTGCGATTTAAAGCTCTGAGTGGCACTGCAAGTGTTATGGACAGGCGTGCAGCTTACCATCAGGCGCACGACTTGTTCGTCCCGTCCCTTAATATTATAAAAACAGCTACAGAGTTCCACTTACTCCACCTACCACATCAAATAAGACCTGTGTCATGTGTTTAGATTTGTGGTGCATAGTTTGTCTTTTTCTTTTTTTTTCAAGTACCATACCTTCGTGTCTTGGTGGTGCGTGGCGGTGGCGGTGCGGGGCGTACGCGGTCGCCGCTATCGGCGGACAGAGACGCAGTCTCGCCCGAGCAGTCCGAATCGGACGGCGCGCGTCGTAGAGCGGCTGCTCGGCCACCAGCACCGCGCCGTCGCTCCCCTTTAACAACAATAATATGTCAATTACTTTATTTATTTATTATAATAGTTTTATATAAAAAAGGAGAATACAAACAAATAGTACTGCTTATTTCTAAAAGAAATTTCTTCCTGCAGACCTAAATACACGACAAAATAATTGTAATAAACGACATTATGTAATAAAAAAAAACAATATCAATAACATTCCATTATTATAAACTATATACAATACTTAGATAAATATTACATATGTATAATATATATTATAAAAAACTTTATTCTGAACAATCTTCAGAATAAAGTCAGAATAAAGAGGGAGCAGAGGAAAAATTCCTAATCTTCGATTTGATTTTAGAGGGGTATACCCACTTTAAAGTTAAAAATAAATATATATATTGAATATAAAAATATTGTATGAGTAACTACACGGTATAGTCAAGCATAGACACTAATCAGAAACATAAAACAATAAAGTTTCCTCGATAGATAAAAATCACGAAATGACCTCTAATTTTCAATTTTTTTCGATTCATGCTACAGGTTATTAGGACAAAAATTACATAATTAATTACATTTATGCATGATCGAGAACTGTCACTACGGATTTTTTTTTAATCCCTTTAGTTTTAGAGTTATTCCGCTAAAACGAATTTGGTACTTTTAATGCGCAAAATTCAACATCTCCTGTCGCATGTCACGCGAACTTCAGGCATATATTTGTTTCACAAATTTGGGCGGAGCCAACGTCAAAACTTTTTTGGCATGCTCCCTCTTAAGCCTCGTAAATGGTACTTTTTGAAAATCATTTGGAATTTTATTACACATTGCCCCTTAAATTGAATTTCTGACTGTGTGAAGACGACCATCGAGAACGGCTAGTTTATTTTTATTCCTTGTATTAACGTCTGTCACTATTTTGCATAAAGAAATTACTATTCCTCTTAACATAAATTACATTTACATAAAATTAACAGTGACGCTAGTGTAAGAATATCTTGTCAATTTTATTATGGGAGACTATCGCAACCGCAACTTAGTCATCTAAAAGTCCATTGTGATGCAAGGTGATAGGTAGATAATTACGAACAAAGGGACATTCAAATTGTAATGGCCCGAACGTTTGTAATTGCTCTCCCACTCGTGTGGCCTATAATGTTTTTCATAATTCTTGCAAGAAAGTTGAAAAAAAGGTAATGTGGCAGACTGCCACACCAATTGCCTGGTTTTGAACTAGGAAATTCCCTGTAATATGAGTACCAGAGCAACTGAATTCACTCTGGCGCTTCCCAGAACACCCAGGCCATTCATAATCAATTTAGAAAAGTTTTTTCCAAATTGAAGCTACCGTAAATTGAATCAGGCACCTCCTCACACAGTGGTCATAGTATAAACCGTTAGGCCACGGAGGTCGTCAAACAAAAAAGCTAAATTCAGACTTTGAAACGGAATGGTTGTATTTATAAAAGTTTAACTATCGTAGAAAAAAAAATTGTAAAGGATAATTTTTTTCGAACGTTTAATTGTTTTGACGTATGAATGTATGAATGAATAAAAAAAATCTTCAATTTATATTATATACCATGCCATCTACGAGTATACCTTATAAAAATGACAAATAAAATAAAAGCGACTGTATTTATATAAAAAAGAAAAGTCCACGACTATTTGGTATCGCGGCGAGAATTAATTTATAGTTTATTAAAGAATATCAAAACAGCCTATTACAATTAAAATATACATACTATAACTTTATACCAACTCGTGTTGAACAGAATATAAATAAGAAATGTGTGTAATAACATTCATCAAAGGGTCGACAGTTTTTTCGAGCTTCCAGCGAACCGCGGGGACGTAGAAAAGGTAGCAATTAAAAATAAATATATAATGAAAATTGATTGAACCGTCACAACACAAAAATACAGAAAATGAAAGAATAAGTACATAAAAACAAAAATATAAAACAACGTAAACATTTATACAACAAAGAGATAACGAGTACTTAGGTATTTCCGATTGTTACACATAAGAAATGAAAGTGGTTTCATAAGTGTAATTAGTAATCAGTAATCGTTTATTGCATAGTCACATGTTAATAATATTAAAATTACAGTACATGTGACACCCTGTAAGGGTGTTTGCAAAGAGAGTGGCGCTATACACATTTTAAAAAATAAGATAAAAATTATTACACAGTACTATTTCCTAATTGATACCACGCATACAAAATGGTGTCTAGTAGGACTATATAATTTACACATGTTTCAACTCTATACTAATTGATATAATTTTAAAACTAAATACTAATTGAAATAATTTTACCTACATACATTTATACACAGAAACATACAATTATAATTTTCTATTATTATTTCATATTAAATCATTTAAAAAAGGTCATCAAAAAATAATTAAAGTATTCTGTTATATTGTAATAACTCCTATCAATTAAGAGAGTTTTTAATTGTCTTTCAAAAGCTTTGGAATCCTGAGTACATTTTATGCTGTTCGGGAGATGGTTATATATTTTTATTAACATTGAGTGGGGACCAGATTAATACAATTTCATTTTTGAAGGAGGTAATTTCAACTTAAACAGATTACGATTATTTGGTTTAACTGTTTTTACCGGCGAATACAAGTCAGACTGTTTTTAGTGAATTTACAAGCTTCAAGTCTATGCGAAAATAGTTTTTACAAGTTTTAAGTGTGGACTTATGAATAGCGTCTAAGGATCAAGAACGTTTTTGTTAATTATTAAAAAATCAGAGTTTTTAAATGGTTTTTTGTAACACCAATAGATCTGCCTCCGCGGCCGAACGGTTACCATGCTGGACTACCACGCAGAGGTCACGGGTTCTATTCTCATTTATTTCTCTCGTGAGTTTGGATGTAATTTGTGGTTGTCTATGTGTGTGTCCATGGCACCCGCGACACAGGGTGTCCCTAGTGCGGGGCTATGTTGAGTGTGCGCGAGTGTGTGCGTGTGTGCGTTATTATTTGTTTTGGTCAATTTTATTTTCAAAATATAAAAAGACCAAAAAAAAAATCGATCGGTGTTAAAAAAACATATTTAAAAACCAGGTTTTCGGTAATTGGTAAAGATCCATAGACACTTTAGACGTGTATAATTTTGTCAAAGATTTTTTCTTTAATGAAGTGTAAGTATGCATTTGACCTCCATCTCACCTGATGGAAAGTGACGAATAGGTCGACGATCGAGTATGCACACCTAAATAATGCCTATTCACTCTCGCCTTGAAAAGGTTCAAGTTAAAACGTTCAGGGAACAAGTCTTGCCTGCAGCAAGGAATTCCACTCCATAGCCTTTCGCCATATAAATATATACGCGACAACAAACAGCTAACCGTGACCATGGGACCTGTACAAAGCTCGAAACGTTGGTTTGTTTTAAAAAACAAATATGCATGATTGAGATACGAAAAATGGTTTAATTTCCTATGTAACAAAGAGATAAGTTGGCGTACTGTCATTTCCGCGGCTGTGGCAAAAAATCAATTTATTATAGATAATATTCTCCATTTTTCTACCTTGAGGTTGCCTAAAACAGATTGCTACTTTGCAATAAGCCACCTGTTGCACATATAGCTTAGTCTAATATTAGACGACTTTGGTGGGCCTAACGATTTGCACTGTAGGTGCTGTATGAGGTGATCCTGGTTTCGATTCCCGATAGGACGGGGATATGAGCTTTCCTAAATTGGTGTTTCGGAGTGAATAATTTGGTAGTACAGGGAATATTCTAGTTTGAGAATTGGATTAGCATTAAGAGTCGATACACCTCGGCTCGCAATAAAATAAATACACACGTCGCAGATAATATGTGTACATAATAATTAGTCATTAGTGTTTGTCGTCGTCGAATCTGACTCGGTTGGGCAGCTTTCGTGGAACGTCTTCTCGTCTGCAATACCGCAGTCCTTGAAGACAAAGTCTTCGAGCAGTGCGTGTTGCTAGCGATGACCTACGGCTCTGAGACGTGGTCACTTACTACGAGACTCATAAAAAAGCTCAAAATCACTCAACGAGGCATGGAGCGAGCAATACTTGGCATTTCTCGACGTGATCGAATCTGAAATGAGGAGATCCGTAGAAGAATGGAAGATTCGAAAGTTGAAGTGGCAGTGAGTATACAGCTCGTGGAACTGACGGCCGTTGGGGCAGAAAGGTTCTTGAATGTAGACCACGAACCGGAAGGCGTTTAGTGGGATAACCCCCTACTAGATGGACGGATGACCTGGTAACGGTGGCGGGTAACTGATGCATGTAGCGTCCGATCGGCTGGTCTGGAAATCTTTGGAGGAGGCCTGTGTTCAGCAGTGGACGTCTTCCGGCTGATATGACGACGATGATGAGCGTTTTATTATAATTATTATGTATGTTAGTCTATACGGTAGTCTTTGTAACCTGAATACAAAAAAAAATAAAAAAAGAATTTTCTTTTTTTCTTTTCAAATGAATACGGTTCATTTTGCTTGGGTCGAGCGACACGCACATTGGCTTTATTTCAAAATGCATTTTTTTACAAAATACATTAAAGCCATTTGAACAATGGATATCGTATAGTATACATGTTCTATTTAGTTCAGTTGATATAAAAAAAAAAATTGGTATATCGACTGTGAACTGGCAACTGGCACAATCTCTATTTTGTAAAGATTTCATCTCAGATACATTTAATTTTGGCGCCAGAGTCGACTTCATTCAACCTGTACCAAATTCTAACCAGATGCTATGTAAATGTCGCAAACAATTCTTTTCTTCATCCTGTAAAATTGTCAAAATGGAGATAGTATCGGTTGCCAGTTCACAGTCGATATGTAAAGTATCTACTAAATACAGCGGTTTTCTTGTAAAATTTCGAGGTAAGTTTGTGTTTTTTTTTCTATTGTGAAAATTTTTAAGAACCGTGTTTTCACACCGTATACTAATCATACATGTATAGACTCTTAACCCGATGACAAAAAGCGTGATTGTCATTTAATAAGACCACAGATAGGA